TATGTAGTTGTAGAGATGGCTAGAATTATCACATTCTGTAAGTGTTCATTCATATAGGCTTGTTTATTCTCTTTCATAATAAGTCTCTTACAGAACTTAGAAACTTTGGATAATGAGTTAATATCCAGAATATATCAAGAATTCTTAGCAACTCAACAAAAAACTGATTTTAAAAATGGACAAAGGACTTGGTAGACATTTTCCAAAAGAAAACATACAAATGGACAACTAATATATGAAAAGATGCATAATATCACACTACCCAACTGAAAAACACTGACATACTACCTTATACACAGTAGGATGGCTAGTATCAAAAAGCAGAATCTAACAGCTGATGATGAAGATAATGGAAATTGGACCCTTATACACTCAGTGGGAATGCAAAATAGTATGCTTTGCATACTTTGCAAAATACTATAGAAGTTCTTCAAAATATTAATAATAGAACTACCATATGATCCAGCAATCCCATTTCTGTGTGTGTATCTAAAAATGAAACACTATTCACAATAGCTAAGATGTGGAAGCAACCTAAATTTTCATCAGTAGATGAATATCTAAAGAAAGTGTGGATATATACATACAAAGGAATATTTAACCTTAAAAAAGAAATTCTCAGTATGTAACAGCATAACTAACCTTGAGGATGTTTAGGATAAATGAAATAAGCCAGTCAGAAACACAGATTAAAAGTTCAAAAACTAGTAGGATATAGGAAATCTTACTTGTATTTATAATTTTGTCACATTTGCTATTTATGTTTTCATATTACATGAAAAGTCTAATTGTATCACAAGAGATAGCACCAAATATTTCATTAAATTGTTAACTTTTATTGGGAATTTTGCTGTTAATTGTTATTTTTATTGGAGTTTTTTCCAATTTACAGGGAAAAATTCCAATATTTTTATTGGAAATTTTGCTGTGACATGTTATCATCAAAGCTTATAATGCATTTTCTAGAGAGAATATTGAAATTGATCCAGAATTTCATTGGAAAAATAAAATAATGTGAATCACTAATGGCGTTAAGAAATAGATTCCCCCCAGAAAGTAAGATCTTTTGTAAGTGAATGAATTGTGTTTGTGTTTAACTTACTTTAACTTACAGTTTCATTCCATTTTAATTTTAATCTAAGTGGAAAAAAGAAGTAAATATCTCTTTAAAATGTTTGGGAGTGGACTAAGGGTTACTATTTAACTGGCTTTTCTCCATTTAGTGGTTTTATAAGTTTAAGTTGAAATGTAACTACATTTTTTTTAGAATACTTTACATAATTTCATACCTTAAATATTCAGTGTTTATGGTTAAATATTTAAATGAGATACTCAAAAAGATACTTTAAAAATATTCACTGCTTTTTAAAGTTAACAGTTTTAACTTTGGGTGTTATAGATATTTGGGGTGGGAGATATAATCCCTTTGAGAGCCTGAAGGGCCAGGGACCCTCTCCCTAGGAAAAAATGTACAAAGCTGTTGTCTCTAATGTTAAGGGTTTCTTGAATTGTTAGAAGTCCATCCATGAGCTTTATAAGGGTCAGTAAAAATGTTCTTTCCTGTGGTAATGAGACACACATGTTTTTAAATTTATGTGGGCATCTAACACATCTATTTTGGGAATTCTTTAAAATCTGTGTAGTGTTTTATTTTCCTAAAGTAATATCCTTAATTTCAAAGTCATTCTTTTGGCTTTTGTTGTTGTTGTTCAGAGTGGAGTTTAATAGTTAGAAATCTGCATTACTATTTAAAGTGGCTGATGAGAAACTACTTTTCCACTTTTCCTTGGGAAGAATTTTCCTTGGTGATCTTTAGGATTTTATGATCACATTAAAATCTAGTGATTATTACAATGTAATAATTTTCATGAAGGGAATGAATAATAAGATCCTGTTTAACTTTATTCTGATAAACTGACAGGTTAGAATATTCTGATTGAATTTTCAGTTAATTCAGTATTCAGCAGATGGACTGTACTGAAAATCTTTCCATTATTATTAAAGTGCTTCATGATTCTGTGGGAGATAAGTTGTCATTTTCAATGAGTATCATGATATACATTAAGATAGAAATAGTAAAGAGGAATCTGAAATTGAGCATTCTTTTGAAGCTAAATATTCAATCATAAAACAAAAGCAAAATTTGTTTTTGTTTTACTGTGCACTAAGTGTTGTAGAAGTCTTACTGTATGTAAACTTAATATATTAATATATTCTACGTAAGAACATGCCCGTTTCTTTCTCTGCCATGTTATGATATTCTGATAACTGGTATGCTAAATAACTAGTCATCTTTTTAACAGAAACATAAAGAGCTGACACACTTATGAAAATCTACTTATGAATGAAGATACACTAAAGCTCAGTGTAGATCCAGTATTTTTACAATTATATATTTCCCTCACTACAACTCTAATCCTTTTCTTTTTTATTGCATGTGTGATCTTCATATAGCTATTCCTGCCCAGAGTTGACATATTTCTTATTGAAAAAAAAATTTTTGGCCTATGAACATTTGAGGAATATTTCTTTTTAAACACATAATGTTTTTAAAGATGAAACATCATGAATTTCATTGTAATGCTATCTCTGGTTAACCTTGTAAGATTGAAATCTGCAATTATTAAAATGTTTACTAAAGAAAATGAAGACTTGGAATACTAGGTTAGCCCATAAGTAGTGCCATAATCAACAATGTAGTTTGGTCTTCAAACCAATAGTTGCTATATTTAAGACTATTAAAACTTAGTATGTTTTATGTTATATCACATTCTGTATGAGCTTGTATATATCACTTAGTTTTGTCACATAATATTAGTTGGAAACAATATTCAAGTAAAATTAATTTTTCCATTATCTAATATTTAAGTTAAATATTTCTTAGCAATCTTAAGGATTTCTAATGCTCCATTTATTGAATCATATTTTGCTATATAAGGGTATCTAAAATTCTCTTTTTAGGATCTCAAAACTGTGTCAGAAAACATACATGTGTCAGAAAACATACATGTTGCTCAGTAGTAACCCTTTAAAGGTATTATTATAACTTTATTTATAGAGTTAAAATATCAATCTGTTTTGGGGCATTGGGGAGTTCAGTCAGTTAAGTGTCTGCCTTTAGCCCAGGTGTTGATCTCAGGGTCCTGGGATCCCCTTGTTTGGCTGCCTGCCCAGCAAGGAGTCTGCCTCTCCCTCTCCCTCTGCCCCTGCTTGCCCTCCCTCTCTCTCTCTCTCATCTCTCAAATAAAATTAAAAAAAATATATATATCAATCTGGTTAAGCACTTTTTACCAAAATATGGTCTTGGTTTTGTAATATAGTTTAAGTGTCATTTTATTATAGTTGATGATTTTTTCATTATGCTTTTATATTATAAAATATTAAATGTTTTTATATTATAAAATATTGAAACTTTAATATTGGATGTGCTCTTATTAAAACATGCATCATATTTCATATAAAAGGAAAAGTACATGATAATTGTTAATATCTAGAGACTTTAATGTATGAGTTAAGTTACAGTTAAAAAGTAAATTCGAGGGACGCCTGGGTGGCTCAGTTGGTTAAGCAGCTGCCTTCGGCTCGGGTCATGATCCCAGCGTCCTGGGATCGAGTCCCACATAGGGCTCCTTGCTCATCAGCGAGCCTGCTTCTCCCTCTGCCTCTGCCTGCCATTCTGTCTGCCTGTGCTCGCGCTCTCTCCCTCTCTCTCTCTGACAAATAAATAAATAAAATCTTTAAAAAAAAAAAAAAAGTAAATTCGAAAGTTATTCAAACTGGTTTACCACTAAAAGAGGCCTTTGGAAAGTATTTACCTAAACTCTAGTGTTATGGACATATACAGTTGATCCTTGAATAAGGGATTGAACTGTATAGGTTTGACTGGTGGATTTTTTTCAATAAATATAGTCCTATCTTCTTATGATTCTTTAATAATATTTTCTTTTCTGTATATAATACAGAATAGATACAAAATATGTGTTAATTTATGTTATAGATTAGAATTATTTTATTTTATAATTTCAGTGCATGAGGTAAGTACTGTTTTTGTTTTCCACATGCAGACCATAGTTCAGCAGTTAAATGAAGATTACAATGTTTAGTGCTCTAAACTCATTAAGTCTAATATTTTAACAATTTGTGGTTTTATATAATTTGTATTTTCTGTTTTGTGCTATACCATGATTAAGATGCAAAAGTAAGTTTATGTATTTACTTGATGGATATTATAAAATTAAACTTTTTTTTTTTCATTAACATACACTTCACCTTTATATTACAAATTTGTTGGTAGTAAAACCTGAAATTTAACTTACTCGGTACCTTTTTTTCTTTTTTCTTTTTTTTTTTTTTTTTGATGTGCAAAACCAGCCATCACAAAAATTTTTCAAAATTTTTCTTAATATTCTTGCTTTGGTTTGCCCTCTTTGAAATTTAGCAAGGACTAGCAGTTGTTAAATAGGACTTTTTGTCCCAGAGCATTGTTTCTCTGTGTTGCCTCTACCATTGCCATTGGTTGCTTCTGAAAGGCTCCAGGCACTGTTTTCAAAGGTTTTCCACTGTGAATAATTAATTTAGCAGAATTTTAAAAATATATGTATGTATATTTTTGTAAAAACGTGACCGGAAAACAGCATGAAAAACAACTTTTAAAGATTTATGGAAACAGTAGTTTTTGTTTGTTTCTTTCAATTTGAAGAAGAGGATTTCAATTTTAGAAATTGCTAGTCAGTTTGCAGTTTTGTGTTACAGAGTATGGTAGGCAATCTTTAGGTATTTAATGAATGTTGATCCCAGATGTCTTGGACCCCAAACCCTAAATAATCACTGGCTAGCACTAGTAGAGTACTCTATAATCCTGAGTTGTTGTTTTTTTTTTTTTTTAAAGGTTTTCTATTTTGCTTTCTTTATTCTTCTAGGCATGTACATACTTCCATGTTAATTTCACACTTTTAAACCTCTCCAGATATCTTTACCAATCTCACATTTTCCCTCCACAGGAAGCTGAAACCCCACGCAGTGTTCTTGAAGAAATTGGGCTGACATAACTCTCATCCCTTGTTGATGACTTTTTGTAGCATTTCACACACCATAGATGTCATTGCTGTACTTCTCAGAGTTACCTAATAGTGTTTGTTAAATGATGTCATTGTTACTGTTTTATAAGCCACTTCTTCAAACCTACACAAAAACATTTTTTGTTGTTATTCCCCAGAGGAAACTTTGGTTAACCAAAAAATAAGTTACTTTAAATATGAATTAGCCTGATGGAGCACAGAAAAGATGCTTTTTATGGATATTTTAGTTTGAATGTTCTCTTACATGACACACACACAAACACACACACATATATGTAAGATTTAGGTGATATACATTTATTACATTACTGTTTTTGGCAAAGAAATCTGAAATTAAATAATGTGAAAAGTAGTATTATAACTAAAAACCAAAGAAGCATTTCAGTATATATGGGTAGATACATTGCAAATTAATGAAATTTTAATAACTAGAACTTAATATATACATATATATGTAACTTAATATCTGTATATTAATATGTAACTTAATACATATATATTAAGTTCTAGTAGATACACACACACACACACACACACACATATGTATACATACCAAAGACCTTTTGGAAGTTATGTATCTTAAAACACAACCAATTCCACATAATTTAAGTGACTTTGTTAGAACAATGTTATTTCACGCTAAATATTATCACTTAGGGATTCTGAGCCTGGGGCCAGATAGGTCGTTCCATGATAGTACTTTTTTTTTTCTTTCTGTGGCAAGGACATATGACTATGAAAGGTTCTTTGTGATCATAATCATTTGGTCACTTACTTGTTTTAATATTCCAAGAAAAAGTAGAATGGCTGTCAGGAATTCTTCATAACACTATTTTGACAATATACGTTGTTCATACCACAAAGTGTGGCAGAACTTACTGTTTAAAGCATGAATGTTCCTTTGGGAGTGCTTGCTACAACCAAATTTATTTTGCCCCCTGCTCTACTGCTTCCCTCCACATAGAAGTACTGCATATTTTAGGGCAATTTCCTTCTGTGGCATATGACATTTTTCTGATTATCAAAAGGCTTAAAAACAAAAAACGCCTCTCAAGTAAGAGTTGAATGAGCTAAAACAGCATTAGTAGTGCCTATAATTTTAAGTTCTGTAACTTTCATTGTCACTTTTACAAATATTTGTGTGTATGTAAAAATGTCTTCACAGTTTACACTTTGACATGTATAAGGTCTGTGCTGTGTTTAATCGTTCTTGTGCTGATATTCAGTCTATGTAGTATTATCTTGCCACATTACCAATTGGTTGTAATATTTAACACACCATTCTATGTTTTTATGTGTTTCTGAAAGTAGTTAAGCTAGGGAGAGTTTGTTAAGGAAGCACTTTAAATTTTTCAGTAAAATGTTAAGTACTCATTTCCATTTGAATGTAGAGTTTGTTGTAAGCACACACAAGATAAGTGGGGATTTAAGGAGTTTGCATGCACTTCAAGTTCATTAAAAAATGTTAATTCTTTGCTACCAGAATTGTGTCTGCGTATTTATTTTCAGTCAATAAATGCCTCTTTTAAAACTTTGATGTAATTGACTCTCTTTTTGAATGAATAACTTAGATTATTCTAGGCAGTGAAAGAGAATTTGATTCCTACCCCTTTTTTCCCCATGATGAGGGAACAGAAGGCTGGCTGAGGACAAAGCAAAAGCTGACCTCCTCCAACCTTCCCCCACCCCCACTCCTGGGTGGGACATATGTGACATTCTTTAGGAATTTCCCACCCATCTTAAGGTTAGTACTTTACTAGAGGGCAAAACGACCTTGGCAAAGGCAAGGCCTCTGGCATCTAGTATCCTGTAGGTCCTCTTTAGCATATGAAAGTTCTATTGAAACCTCCCTTTTCCTTACCTCCCCCACCCCCACGGTACATAACCTGCCACCCTTCACAACCCCAGGGCAGCAGCTCTTCCTGCCCATGGGTCCTGTCCCCTTGCTTTAATAAACCACCATTTTGCACCAAAGATGTCTCAAAAATTCTTTCTTGGTCATCAGCTCCAGACCTCACCCCAATGAACCTCACTTATATTCTAAAACCATCATTTGGTGCCCAACATTGGGCTGTGAGTCTTTACATTTGGACTCTGAGCTTCAGTGCAAAATTGGTGAGTACTCTCTCTTCTTCCCTTACTCTCATTTCAAGGCCTTTTCTGGGAGTATGGTCTTATTGAACACTTGCATGTCGATTGCTCAGGCTGTAATCTTCTAGCCCATGGCAACTCTATGGGGAGGAGAACGTCTGCCTTTTGGCTCTAAGTTAGTAGCCTGACCGGAGTGGTAATAAGACCCAGAAACTGATGGCCTCTTTTTATACCTGTTCTTATATAAAGTTGTCTCTCTTGTGCATGGAACAGCCACCTAAGTCACCAGGACAGCTGCCAATCTTGACTCCCATGTGAGGTTTCCTCCTGATTGATCTAACGTGATCCATTCCACATCCCTGGTCTAGCTACTTCTGGCCGAGAGACCTCCCCTGGGAGCTGGCCGAAACCAGTACCCGGTTGAATTAAAACGCAACCAGGGACTGTTTCCTAGGGAAGCTGGCTGTAAGGAACACGTGTTGGAATGTTGCATAGACCATGATGGATTTCAGTCTTTACTGTTTCTTGTCCGTGTCTTCTACAAACTACTTAAAGCTACAAAATTGGTTAATTTCCCCTTGTAAAAATTTTTCTGGTATTTCCATGGGTTAAAATAGCAAAACCGTATGCAATCTTCAGGACAAACAATGGCATGGCATGGCACAGTAGTTTGGTCCATTCACCAGGCACCCATTGGCAGCTTAAGATGTGATGGGGAAGGGTAGGGGCACCAGCACTCCTCCAGGGCCTTTTATGGCAGGAATGTCTTCCAAGGGAAGGCAGGATCATGATCAATAGTGCTGTCTTGTTGAGGGATGCCTCCGGTCGCTTTTGCCACAGGGGAACCTATGACATATCCTGCATGGGATGCCACCCAGGCATCAGGGGGGATTTGTAATGGACTTTATTTACTTTTCTGGGAACATGGCTCAGTAGGCTTCTTCAGTTCCTAAGGACTCTACCTCAGGGTGACTTTTAAACCACTAGAAATAATTTCGATTGCAAAACCTAGGAAAGGACTGAGCTCTGGTAACATTACATGGCCTCACTAGGAAATTTCAGTTAGATCTAGGCCTTCATTGCTCTATACCCAACCTAAGGGCCTTTTGCAGAATGTGTTTGCCTGAATGAGTCAGCTAGTAAACCTCCTCCTGACTTGGATGATGAATATGTAAATAAGCCTCTTAGTAAACCCAGGTTGCTGGAGGATACACAGGCCATCCCTAGCAAAGGGGACTCTGACTTTATCTCTCTGTGTTCCTCCTGTGTTCCTTCTCCCTCCCTCATTTCCCTTGTTAATCACTGTAACTGGAGCCAACTGGGGTTAGTCTAACTTGAGATGGAGACTTTAAGGAATATTTACAAGCAGCTACCAAAACATTCTTTGTTTTAGAGAAATTCCCTGTCTTCTCTAGTCTGAGCTGGACTGCTTAACCCCTTCCCCATTGTTGGAGGGAAAACATCATGTATGCTTCTCTGTTGGGGCTGATGAGCTCTAAAACCGGGAATCCTTTCTCTGCCTTCTGGCAGTACTTTGTTTCTTCTGTCTCCCCCTTCTCCTGTTTCTGCACCAACGTGCATGTGGCCTGCATAACTGGCTTCTAGACTGTCCTTGTGCCTCCTGCGCAACGGCTCCTTCCCTGTTCACTGTCAAGGAGCAAGAAGAGCAGCCCCTGGACCTAACACCGCCCCCCTCCAGATTTCCCCACCCGTGTCTCAGGTAAATACCGAAAATGGGGTGGACCCAAGTGGAACATAAATCAGTATTTAAACTAAGTTTGTTGGTTTAATTAAGAGAGACATGTCTTTGAAGTTACAGCAGTAAATGTGAAGCTTTTATTCTATCAAGGTTTACTGAAGATCAGATAACCTCGTGTTAACTCTGTTGGGTTGTTCATCAAAAAGATGACTAAACTAATGGTTCATTGTCTGTCTCAGAGTTTTCATGGGTAATTGTTAATACAGCTTTCAAACTCTTTGGTAACCTGAAAGTTTATATAGTTTTGCTTGGATGACAAATGGAATTAAGTTGGTAGGATGACAAATGGAATTAAGTTGGTAGGACATCTAGGTCTTACAAATAGGATAAAATGCTAAGTCATTAATTACTGGATGTAGGTCTGTGCTTTTGACTTGTTACAGCAAAGAAAAAAACAATATTTAAATCATTTAGTAAACATGTTTTGTGCTTAACTGATTCATAATGAATTCTGTCCTAACAGTTCACAATTAATACTTAACTGACTAGAGACTAAGGTTTTTCTATCAGAACAAAATTCTAACTGTAATGTAATATTTCTAATGGAAATAAGGGAAACAACTCTGTATGTGGAAGAGTAGATATGTCAGAAAGGTAAGGAATGCGAATGCATTTTGTTAAAGATAAAAGGTAATTTTGTACTAAATCAGATGGGTGTTTGGAAAGAAATGGCTTGGGACACAATCTAAATGCAAAGAAAAGTTGTAGAAGGTTTGTGAAGGGAAATCTTCAGGAAAAGAATTTTAAGTGTGGTCAGGACAGACTAAGATTGAAATGAATGGGTTTTAAAGGTACTTTGGTATAAGACTGAAATTCTCTCCGTTCAAGAAGACAAAAGTTATCTTAAATTAATTGTTCTGCTATTAAGAACATGTAAACAATAGTTTACTCTTTGCCTGTCCAAAAAAACTTCCACATTTCACCTGTATCAGGTCTTTAGCATCCCTAAGTATATTTAGGCCTGTGATTTAAAAGTTTATAAGATTTTAGCAAATGTTGACAAGATTTAAATTGTAAATGAAATCTCTTTTAACTCATTAGGCTTTTCCTTGGTATGCTAAGTTACTCAGGAAGTACTGCTAAACAAATGATAAACTTTGGATTACATTTGGATAAATGCTATAACTATTCTAGAGATTCCATGCATTTCCTAAAGTTTTAGTGTTTTGATAGATCATCACTTGATATTGTAATTATTGAAGTGTTATGTGTCACAGAAATAACCTGATTTCCTTGCCAACTAAGTTGTAAACTCATCTCATCAGCTCTTTAACCATAAACATTTTGAGTTTTTGTCATTTATAGGTGTTTGAATTCTCTTGTAAAATGAGTTTCACCTTAAAGGAGAGTTCATATAAAGGACTTTCAGGACAAATAGAGATATTTGATATATTTGAAAACCCTAAAACTGAAATGGGCAAGAATTTCCAGAACTAACTAAAGCTGCATTCAAACTAAACCAGAACTAGTAACATGGGACTAAATGAACTAACAGATTATAGTGTTATGTCTCTTATTTTAGACATTGCTCATTCTCTGTTTACTTTTCCAGACTAAGAAAAATTAAAAATATTCATTTGTAAACAAAGCATTCAACTTTTCTCTGTACTTGAACCCTCTGAAACTCAAAAGGTCTCAGTAAGTATTCCTCCATGGTAATCAGTCATTTGCATAAGTTCAATAAGAATCTGTCCTCCTTGTAACAGGACACTATTGGAAACACTGGTTATTTTACCAAGGCTTAGACTAGAATGTCATATTTGAGAAAGACTCATATGACCAGACAGCTTTAAGGAACTAAGGTTGACTTTATGAAATCTGGAGCCACAACACCCCTTGGAACTGTTGGCCTGATACCTTGCTTACAGAGTTCCCAGCAGCCTCACCAGGTGAGTAAAGAATGTCACTTCCTGGCAGGTGCAGGAACCTCAGGATACTTTGGGAACCTCGTGAAACACAATCTGCTCAAAACTACAGGTATTGCAAGCATGTCTGATGGCAAGTACATGGCTTGGCTTCTGGCCTGGGAAGACTACTTAAAAGTTCAACCTAGAGATTCCTTATAAAAAGTTCCAGCAAAACAGATTCTAAAAGATCCATATGATCACTCACTGTTCTTGCTGAGCTACTATATAAATAATTAGGTCAAGTTTGTTAAAACTGGACTTGTTTTTTCAAATAAATTAGTCCTGATTTGGCCATTTCTGGAAATGAGGGTTATTTTAGAGAGAAAAATTATGTTTCAATAACACACCTTTGTGGATGTTAAGTTCTAGGTTTGATTGTCTTTAAATGTTTGTTGTTTACCTAAGCTAGACAACTAGAGTAAACTTAAAAGAGAAATTATCACAGTAACTCATATACAGACAATCTTCTGCTGATTATTCTATGGGGATAATAACAGAACCCCATGGGCAACTAACAATTTAAACAGCTGAAAAAATTGATTGATTCCCCAACAATTATATAACTTACAATTATATAACTTGACCAATTCTGTGGGGCTAGGATAATTGCCTAAAAGCCAGAAGCATACCCCACTCCATAGGATTAACTATGGACTTGTGGAGATAATGGATGACCCTACTTTCTTTGGATTGGATTGGATGATGCATGTGGGACTCCCTTTATC